TATTTAATTTTAATTAAAAAAATAATTATTGTCATTAAAATATAAATGAGCACGCCCGCTGTTCTGGTAAACATACCTTCAACCTTGAGCGGACATCTTTAGGACACCCGATTATATATAGCGAGAATACGGGACTGCTTAGTCTATTCTATATATTATACGTCATTGATTTTGTTGCATTTCTTTTTTGTATTAGTGCCGCTTTCCTTTTAACTTTTTTAGGCGGTTCCAGTAGCGTCGTGGTATAATTAATTACTCTAAAACAGTGATTTTAAAATCATCACGTATCACTGAAATGGAGAGGTTAAATATAATAGACAATGTATTATGCTATTATTATTTTGTAAGCTTATAAAATGGTAAACGTTTTACAATGCACCACTCTGTATACTTTCTCTAATTGTTTTCAACAAAAACCTCCCGTGATGCATCGGTATAAAGAGATTGTTAAGAAACTTGAAAAGCCATTAAAGTTTTGACAAATGATTTGTACGAACATTTACGTATTTCAGGTGTACGTAGGACTTTCAGAACTGTTTAGCAGGCTTCAAGATGCTGACAAAAGCGCCAGATACGCCTCCAAAGCTTACGATCTTTCCCGGTCCCTTCAATTGGGAGATTTAAATTCAAGACATCACAGGTAAGGTTTCTCCACTTATCCAGGAAATTTATTGTGTTCTCCTTTGTGTAATAAGGCTAGAGGGCAGGGATATTTGCGTGCTAAATTCAAATTTTCTAAAGATTACGAAGCTGTAGATTTGTCAACGTTTTAATCCAACTTTATTCTATTAAAATATTGTCTATTATACAGGGATATTATGAAATAAAATTATAATATGAAAAATCGGACAGAAAACTCATTTTTGTTTTCAAAAGCACTCTTAGTATATAGGGTATATAATTATTTATAGGGAATATAATTATGGAATGAATCCCTTTTTGGAATAGGTAACTTTGGAAACAAATCCCATAAAAGGTCGTTGTTTATTTTTTGTTTACGATTTTGTCAGATAGTAACGTTATCCATCTGAGATTAATATTAAATTAATTTACACGACAAGAAGTATGTATTTATGTAATTTATTTAATACAAAATTCATTTTACTGCTGTCATAAAACAGAAAATAAATATTTGACAAATAAAAATTGCTGTTCGCCTAAATTAAATGTTCAAATTGCCACTCACCTCTATATACAAGTAGGTGGGACTATCTTTTACTGGTATATTATACTGATTTTCTTATCAGGAGTAGTTGTTCCAATGATAGTGCGCCTATTATTGGGTGTGATTATCAGTAATGATAGACAAATCACAAGTACAACACTGTGTGGGCGGGACAGTAGATATAATTAGCATACAAGAAATTTTGTTTGTTTTGATTTTTGATTTGTTGAAGGGCTAGTCCGATGTTTTATTGGGAGATACTAATGACCAGTATAAGTGAGTCAGTTTTTATAGATCTAGGAAAAAAGGAACTTGTTATCTAGAAATATTTATTAGATATTATGTTTTGATGAATTGAGAAATAAAATCCTTACATTTTTAGAGACTTTTTTAAGATTTAAAACTTTTTAAAAAATATTATCGTTCAATCAGGATACACAAATCGTTCAATCAATTAATTTTTTACTGTGACATTATGAATACCTAACACATTTTCTTTGGTTTTTCATTTTTATGATTAGAATGATGGGAATTATATTATAGTGACTATGACTGTTAAAACCGGTAGGTATTAGGACCACCCTAAGATAACAATCAACGTTACCAATGCGACTCTAGCGTTAAGATCTCTTACAAAAAAGAAGCCTTAGAGCTTATATAAGAAGAGTAATTGCAACTGATGAGAGAGTAATAATAACAAATAATTTTGTTGGATATATTGGTCAAAATCATGGACGTATAAACATAGATGGACACAGCAAAAGATACCTTTAACACACAATGTTTTGAAGCTTCGATATTATGTGATGCTTCCGCCATGAGCATAGGCGTGCTTGAATTTTTACTCGCGGGTAATTATTCAGATTTCAAAAATTGGAAGTAGTAATAATGTATAAAAATACGTTCAAAGAATTTAAAAAAAAAAACGAGAGTTTAACTATTAACAAATCACGTCTTTATAGAAAAATTACAATATAATTTTATTTGCTTTAAAATTAATACAATTAAATATAGTTGAATTCAAGTTAATTTTTTAATAGTATCAAGATAATGCTACAATACAAAGAAGAGATCTAAGTCTAAAACTTAAAATTCGCCTTTTGAGATGTTACGTTATGTCAGTTCTCCTCTACGGGATGGAAACATGGACATTGAAAAAGATCGATACCAAAAAGATAGAAGCATTTGAGTTGTGGATGTATCGTAGAATATTAAGAATACCCTGGACAGAGAAAGTAACAAATGTGGAGGTTTTGCGGAGAGTGCGGAAAGAGAAAGAGCTGATACTTACTGTTAAAAAGCGCAAACTACAATATTTGAGACATGTTATGAGGGGAGATAAATACCAGTTGCTGCAATTGATTATACAGGGAAAGATAATGGGAAAGAGATCTATAGGAAGAAGAAGGCATTCATGGTTGAAAAACTTGAGAGAATGGTACAATTGCACCAATTACCAACTGTTTAGATCTGCAGCATCAAAAATACGCATAGCTTTGATGATAGCCAAACTTCGGAACGAAGACGGCACTTGAAAAAGAAGAATGCTACAATAAAAAATCTTTATGTTTTCTCCTTAATTTGCTACCCAAATAGTTCGATCGTCAATATTATTTGGAAACCTACATAGAAAAATAAATGAGTTTTATTCATTTCACTAATTTATTTGTATCCATGAGAAATATTAAATTAAAAAGGTACTAAACAGATCTTTTTTAATCAGATGATGTCTACTTACAATTTATAAATGTCTACTAATTTCATGAACTCATATCTTATTCAATACATTAATGAACATAAATAAACCCAATGGTACGCCTATTAAAATGTAAACAAACACGCTTCCTCATTTCCTCATCTTAAATAATGTAAATTGTATGTACTGACAAATGAAATGAGAGATCGGGATGTAAATATTTCATTTATTTTATTTCACTTTTAACAAATATCACTCAAAAAACAGCCAAAATATCAAAAAATAACTTTTTCCTCATTTACTGTAAAAAGTAAACAAACATGGAACAGCATTTAAAGTTTGACGTAGATCCATAAGACAGAGAAATGTAAACAACCGTTGCCATTTATAAATAGTTTTCAGTGCTTCTACATATAAAATAATTGATTGATATCTATTATACGCTATTATTAAATGATAATGCACACTATGTGCACACTTGATATTTTGATTACAATTAAATATATTAATATAACCAATAAATTATTATTTTGGTTTGATAGCATCTGTAGAGTATAAAATACGGAGTAATATTTTCAGCGACTCGCGAATAAGAAATTTTAAAACAAAACGTGACAACAGTTGAAGATGCTCAGAATGTGACCTATTCAAATAATTTTGACTTCACAATTTTATGTAAATAACTGAGTCCATCTGTATTTATACGTCCATGGTCAAAATATATTGGTTTTGAAACTTACAATGATGCTGTCTCCAAAAAAGTCAAAATCAGTCTCAAATAGATTATCTCTGATAAGGAAACAAAACGTAAACGAATATAATAATGGCTGATAAGGAAATTGAATTGATAAACAGGATGGAAGGATAACAAATAGAAAATTTTTATATTATTCATTAATTTTATTATTTTATGAAAGCACATTACCGCTGGAATTTCTGTGGTAAAAAAAAAAGTTTTTTTATATATTTATTTAACGTCGTCCGACCCACTGGGGTTATAGACGACAGCAATGGAAAAATACATATTAAAACAAAGAAAGGTTATAATATTAATTACATACTAACATGAAAGAAGATTGATATAATTTGTGATACAAACTAGATTTTAATTTAAATATCTTTTATACCTATAGGCCTTAAAAACTTTATGATGTTGTTTAGATGATTGTCTCTAAGAAGCTCGCCTATGTCGCTGGGAAGGTTGAGTTTACTTCTCGTTTCCTGGAAAATTCGACATTCGGTTAAAATATGTATTACTTTACTGTTGGTTTGACTTTGGTTATAGTGGGAGGTTGTCTCTTGTGATTCGGTAGAATCTGAGTCGAGTAAAGATGATTTGTTTTTTCTTAGGTAACAAAAAGACTTGTTTTTGTAAAGCATTGTCTTTAATTCTACCATCTCCTTATTCACAAATCTTAACCCGATCATATGCCAGGTTCAGGCCCAGGACAGATCCCTGGGGGCCCCAATCGTCAAGTCGACAATTGTACCCTTCTCCACCATAATCCTTCTCTCGAGCAGATACTTCGCCACCACATTCATTAGGTAACCAGGACATTCTCTTCCCTCCATTGTTTTTATTACCTCGTTCTGAAGCAGCGTATTGAATGGATTTCTAACATCGAACAGCAGCAGGGCCGCCCAGCGATGTTTATCCTCTCAGTTGCGCAGTGCTTTGAGCACACTCACGATTGCATCAATCTTGCTTTTCCCTTTACAAAAACCAAATTGCCTCTAGATTTACCATCTAGAGAATTTTAACATCTAGGTTTACATTATACAGTTTTTTAATTAAATTATTTTAAAAACTGATTATTATATATTTTTTTTAGAGCTGCTCTTCTTCAGATGGCTTCAGCGTTAAGAAAACAAGGAGAATTGGGAGATGCGCATGATTATTGTTCGGTAAGTAAATATATGGCAAAGAAATAAATCGTCGATCAGAAAGTGATCTAGAAATTCGATACTTTCTTAATTGACTTGTATACTTCTCAATATATTGCTCTTTCTCTCTCCCTCTCCCTCTATCTTCCTCCCTCTCTTTCTCTTTCTATATTAATACCAAATAAAGTTTGACTATTTCTGTACTCTCATGTTCCTGATTATATAAAAAATAACATAATTTGTTTGTACTTTTCAGGAAGCAACACGATTGGCATTAGTTTCTGGAGACCAAGCCACTTACGCCAGAAGTATACGAATTATGGGGGACATTTATAGAAAAAAGTCTGATATTAATGTAAGTATTTCTTACTTACTATATTTATTACTTATTTCTAACAGTAATAATAGTCAACCATTAACGATATTAGTTATTCTTGGATTAGTCTGTTTTCCAAACCTAGTGTATTACGAATAAGTAAGAAAGCATAAGGAAGTAGGCCTTTACTCAACAGTTTATTTTTATCCAATGTACAAAAGATCTTACAAATTATGTGTATGTATTTATATTAATTCCTAAACTCTAAGTTCCTCTGGGTTCTCATCATCAATATGATCATTTTCTGCAGCACTCTCGTTATTATTTATCTATACGCCAGTATCTATTATTTAATATTTTTATGTTTTAAGAATATTACAATTTTATGTTGTAAATGTGTACTTAATTACTTTATTATATGCCGTGATTTATAATGACGTTTATGAACTATCTTCAGTTAAATTACCCTCATAGTTAGACCTCGTTCGTGAGACAAAATTGCAGTTAGAGCGAAGCTAACGCAGGCTTGAACAACGCTTCAATCGAACAAACAATCTGCATCTCATGCATGTTAATTTGTTTTGATTGTTTGTCGAAAACATCGGTCCTCTTTATATATGTCATATAGAAATAGAATGGAGACCGAATAATTATTTGCAGATGCTAGAGGCACATCGGACTCGGGAAGTTTCTGACGGTTTAATTTACTCTGAACAGATAGAGACATAGCAATATTTGGAATTAGGGCTTTTTGGATTTGTTGATATTATCCGATCATTCAGGATTATATTGTGGCAGAGTTTTTCAAATACATTTATTGTTTAGATTTGCGAGAAGTTGAGAGGATGAACATTTGAATAGTTGAATAGTTTTTGAGATATTACAAACACTTAAACTTGAAGTTGTAATTTTACTTATAATTACTTTAAATTTATATATATATATATATATATAATATATATATATATATTCGGTTTTATAACGTCTTACGACGTTGTCCGACTCCCAAACGCCACTGTATTCCGTCTTGAGTTAGGTCTTTGTCCAGATTTCGAGCGCTAATCGCTTTCCTAACTCCCAGGTTCCAGCTCTGTGGTGGTCTTCTCGTTCCCTCTTTTCTGGGGGTTGCCACATGATCGTTTTTTTAGTCAATCATTCGTCCCCCATTCGGCTCACATGCCCATACCATATGAGCTGTTTTCTCTCAATATCCTCAACTATAGTGCCCTCTATACCCATTTGTTGTTTTATCACTTCATTCCGCATTCTGTCGACTCTTGATATTCTCATCGATCTTCTGATGGCATCCATTTCCGTGGCTTCGACCTTTTTCTTATATTTCTCGGTTATTCTCCATGTCTCAGCTCCATAAAGTAGGCTAGTTTTAACCATTGTCTCATAGATGTTCTATTTTCTTTTCTTTGATATTTCTTTACTCCATAGAACTCCGTTCAAACATGCTATAGCTCTTCGTGCTTGTACAATTCGATGTTCTATTTCTCGTTCGTCTTTTCCACTACGGTCGAAGATGACGCCCAGGTATTTATATTCGTCACATGGATTTATTTTTTGATTGTCATCGATATCGAGTTGTTCTGCTTCAGCTCCAATTGAGAGGTATTTTGTCTTTTCTAAATTGATATTTAATCCCCATTTCTGGTATTCTTCAATTAGTTTTCTAAGCATGTATTCCATGTCGTCTTTGTCATTTGAGATCACCACCTGATCATCTGCAAACTGTAAAGTATATATGTAATCCTGATCGTTTAATTGTATACCCATTCCTTTGATTTTCCTTTTCCAGTGTTTCAGAGCTGTAGAGATATAAATCTTAAATAGAGTCGGAGAGATACAACATCCTTGTCTGAGACCCTTATTAACTGCAAATTTTTCAGCTAAGAGGTTTCCGAATTTCATTTGGGAGTTTAAACCATAATATATATCTTTGAGAGCACTAACCAATGTTTGATGTATGTTTGATGTGCCCAGGACTTCCCATAGTTTATTTAGCGGGACTGTGTCATATGCCTTCTCAAGATCTACAAAAGTCATATGTAACTCTCTATTTGTCACAATTTTCTTTTCTATAATTTGTTTAAGACAGAAGATGTTATCTGTACACGAACGACCTGCTCTAAATCCTCCTTGTTCTTCGTCTTCAGACGATTGATAATCTTTCTCTATCAGGTCCCGTAGTATTCGACCGTATAGTCGACTCATTGAACTTGTGACCGATATCCCTCTATAGTTTTTACAATTTCTCCTGTCACCTTTTTTATACATTGGGGTCAGATATGCTGTTTTCCATTCATCAGGTGTTGGATACATTCTCATCCTCTGAGGGGGCATAGATTACTAGTATTGTTGTTTTTTATGGTGTAGGGTCATATTTACTTGCAGGATATTTTCATCTATTGCAGTCCAGCTGGTAATTTTCCTTTTAAACTTTTTGTTAATAATTACGGATACTCCTCTCTTAGCTCTTTCTTCCTTTGGTACGCCGCTATACAGATGTATGTAGTCTCCTATCATTACTGATCCAACGCCCTTCTTCTTTGTTTCAGTGAGGGTCACTATGTTGAGGCCAAGTTGTTTTACTTCTTTGATGATCTCTTCAGTTTTACCCCTTATTCCTTGTACATTCCATGTACCTATCATCATGGTCCTTTTTCGTAGCCGTTTTCGTCTTTGTTTAGATCCGTCTATATTTCCGAGGCTTGGTTTGGGATTTTCAGCAGTAGTTTTTTTTAGATATTAAGGAGCTAGCTCAATGATCCAACCCCAATCTGGACGGCCAGGAAATTTGTCTTAAGGTTTTCATCCTTTAGATTGACTGTCTTTATGGACTTCAGGGGTCAATCTTCCCCTCGATTTTAGACAAGACCTAAAACCATTGGGCTGCCACCTCCGCCTTCCAGACCGTTGTGAAGATCTTCTTCTCCGCCCTGGATTCCGTTGTGGGCTTCATCCGTGACCCTGGACAAGGGACCCTTAGCAGGTACTAGTTACCCGGGTCAGAAAACACCTGGAATCTGCGGAAGGCAAGGATTGATTCACTTTCCCTGATAGGACTATCCAAAAGGAGTTCCTACCCGCTACCTAGATTTCTTTAAATTTACACTCCCCAATATTCTTTCAGAGCTTTGCTTAATAACTCTTTACATTCAAAGTTTTGCGAAAAGTTTATATTAAAGTTTTATACTTTTACAATTTAAAACTTGAAAGTGGAGATAGAAGGCATCTCTGATGCACTCCTCGTTTTATGCTGACTTACTTAGTTGGTGTTGCCATTTACTGTTCGAACACACCTATTATAATTACAGTTGATATTGTGGATAATAATTAGATGCCATCCTTCTGGCCCGACCTCTTATAGGATTTAAATCATTTTGCCATGCTTTATACGGCCGAATGCCTTACGTTAATCAACAAAGCAAGCGTAAAGTTTTCTTTACACTTCCAAAAATCTTTATACCAACACCGTCAATCTTAGAATTGATTTCCTAGTGACTGTTCCCTTTCGATAGACTAACTAAGATATGTGTCGCATTTACTACGAATTCTGTTGTGAATGATCCGCATAAAGATTTTTGCCGCGTGGCTCATCAGGCCTTACATTTTCTTGTCTTATTTCTTTTGGGGAGGGCTATGTATATAGAAGTTGTGGCCTGTCCTGTGGGAACGTTCCTGTTTCATATATGTCACTAAAGAAGTACTTTTATTTGTAAACTGCCTTTTGCTGAGGTGTTTGAAGTGTTCTCCTACTACAGAGTCTTCTACTTCTATTTTGCTCTTAATATGGGGAGTCTGCTTTTTCTAATGATTGGCTGTCAGCTAGTCTATTGACTAGAAATAATTCTAGGAGGTATTTTTTCCAAATTTGTTTTTCCTCTCCAGTCCCTTGACATTCAATAGGTATTTTTATCTATGCAGTGTTTTCACATTCCATGTGGCAATTCTGTTTTTGCTCCAGAAGATTCTTAGCACCCCTAACCACTAAAAGTCTAACCATTTTCATACAAAAGGGTGTCAATTGGGAGACCTCTTCTGACTTGGAGAATCGCAACTGCGGGGGTATTCTAGTTTTGGTCCACCCTGGGTATTTTATTTTCTCGGTACCACAAATATCTGGAGTCACTTGAGGAAGCGCCCGATATGGGGCAGTGGCGGTCTCAAGGGGGCGATGGGAGCGATCGTCCCCCCAGAAACCTTAATTTTCTGAAAAATTGAGAAGTTAATATACATATTAATCAGAAGTGTGAGATCGAACTAATGCATTGCTATTATTGGACAAAATAATCTAACAGTGTGAAAACGTCCGTAGACAGATTATTTTAATAGCCTACGGTTAGTTTTTGATATAACGTAACAAAGAAGCGTTTACCTAGAAATTCTCAGCGGTCGTCCCGACACAGGAGCGCGTGCGCTAAAACCATTTGCAATTTTAAACCTCGACAATTTGTCGACAATCTTCTTCAGTCAGACCATAGATAAATAATATAATAGTAGAAATAGATAGGCAACTCAATGTATAAATTTCGTTCATTAGGCCCCTTGCGGCTGGGGTCAATACTAATCATCTTTGGGCGGCAAATTCGAATGAACACCCCTTACATACATACCCTTTAGCGCCTCTTGTGGGCTATTTCGTTACTAATTAAAATTTATTGGAAAATAAGGATATAAGATGCACAATTTTTTCTAGATATACGTATATTTATTTGTTGTTTAAGATAAAACAGTTATAAAATAATTACATAATATTTATTACACATATTTGCAGAAGTTAAATACTATTATTTTTTGCTTTCTGACAACTTACTATCATTCTTTTTGTAATTTTTCCATGATTTGTACACAACGAACAATACAATAATTCACTATGTTTAGTTTTGTTACTAGCACAACACAAAAATTCTTTGCTACAATAGGTAACTCAAAATAAACTTTAAAAATTAAGTAACCAAATTTAAATTAAAATTACTAAGAATAAATGCAAACGAAAGTTAAAGATAATAAAATAAAATTGAAAACTTGTA